CTACGGCTCCTGAATTAACCAAATATTTTTCAAAGTACACTACAATGTTTCATGACAATAAACAATGGAAAATTCTTGCCTCTCAGAGCAAAAATTCTTTTTTTTTTTTTTTTTTTTAGAAAGAGTCTCGCTCTGTCACCCAGGCTGGAGTGCAGTGGCCGGATCTCAGCTCACTGCAAGCTCCGCCTCCCGGGTTCATGCCATTCTCCTGCCTCAGCCTCCTGAGTAGCTGGGACTACAGGCGCCCGCCACCCCGCCCAGCTAGTTGTTTGTATTTTTTTAGTAGAGACAGGGTTTTACCGCGTTAGCCAGGATGGTTTCGATCTCCTGACCTCATGATCCGCCCGTCTCGGCCTCCCAAAGTGCTGGGATTACAGGCTTGAGCCACCGTGCCCGGCCTCAGAGCAAAAATTCTTTCATCTCTCTGAGTCTCCTAAAGAGTGAGAATTAAGGTATTTTTTAAAATCTCACTAAACATAATTATGAGTATTCATAGGATTTCTCAAAATATCCTCTTGGATATACCCAAACAGAGGCATAAAGATCAATACATTTGCAGAAGAATATTAATTTTTTTTCTCCCAACACTGTGAACTAACTACTCACTAGAAGGGACTACCATTCAGCTTATCTGAAGAGTTAAAGTTGTAATCTAAATGACTAAAGTCTCTAATCATATGTTAAGGATACAAGCAGGATTGCGCAGCATCTTCCTGCAGTCTGTGAAGAAGTTCATCCTTGATGTACTTTCTCACTATGTGTAAAGAAGGTCATTGAGTGGTCTAAGTCCTGGAAATTGTCCTAGTCAGAGGTGTTTTCTCAACCTGTGGCCCCTGGTGGAATGGCCATGGCACAGAAGTGCAAAGGATAGAAACATTTTCTTCTGAAACAATCACTGGAATATAAAAATCAGCAAACTTGTTGTTAAGGATCAACTTTCTTTTGGGTGTACAGTAATATCTCAATTATCTCCAATAGATAAGGGAAATAATAGTGCGACTGTACAAATAAGTCATGTCTCATAGTATGTGTGTGTATGTGGGCATATCATTTTATGGATTTTGTTTTGCAATCCCATTCTTCTTTTATTACATAATAAAGTTAATTTGTTATTCCTGAACAAAAGATGACCAAAAGGTTCCAAAGCATTGTGGATGCTAAGGTCAAGTTGTGCTACAGTATGCAAGGACTAATCCATAACAACTTGCTTAAAAAGATAGTAGCAGCTTGTTTACATCTGTAATGTGAAATGTATTCCAAATAAAAGTGCTGTGCACTTCTATTCCTACATCCTTGCTATGTCTTTGTCCTAGGTTTATGGAATACATAAATTAAAAAGAACTTTATGACATTTTCCACCAAGGAAAAACTTCAGGCAGCTGAAGAACAATACAAAAAGCCATTGATGACAAGAACCATCTGCTTGTCATGTAAATGTTTCCTAAATCAGAAAAGGCATGAAGTTCCTTTTGTTTTGTTTCTCCCTTTCACCTTTGAGGCCAATCAGATTCCATGGACAAGGGATAAAATGAGAGGAATTACTACTCTGTCTTGTCTGAGCCATTGAGTTCGTAATAAAATAAGGATAATATGTCAATTCAGCAACAAAAGAGGCAAACAAGTAGGAACCGAAATAACAAAATTAATTTGGTAATATTGAGACTTCAGAACCAAGGGAAGTAGAATGATCAATGAAGTGAGTGGAGCAATGGCAACAGAGTCCCACCAGCTCAGGACCAAGCCTGCGTCAGACTCTTCCAAACCTCTGGCAAGTAATTTTACTGCTCTAGATCATGTTTCTTTTCTTTTCTTTTTTTGTTTTAGATACAGGGTCTTATTCTGTCACCTCAGGATGTAGTGCAGTGACTCAATCATAGCTCACTGCAGCCTCAAACTCCTGGGCTCAAATAATCCTCCCACTTCAACCTCCAAGCAGCTGGGACTACAGGCATGCACCACCACACCAGCTATTTTTTATATATTTATCTTTTGTAGTGATGAGTTCTCACTGTGTTTCCAGGGCTGGTCTTGAATTCCCGGCCTCAAGCAATCCTCCCATCTTAGCCTTCCAAGCCAAGCACTGGGATTTCAGTAGATCATGTTTCTTAATCTGTGAAATGGGAATAATACCAATACCTACTTCAAAGGATTGTGGTGAGAAATAAATCATCAGCTTGAAAGCACTTATCCCAGTGCCTGGCACATGGCCAGTAATCTATACATGCCAGCTGCTACTCCTATTAACCCAGGAGTAAGATCATCCAACTGAGGGACAGTATTTGGATAGCACACCCTGCCCTGAGAATGTCTCTCATTTCATATTTTAACAAAATATATGCAAGTTCTTCCTTTCATAAACTCTCCTTTGAAAATTTAATTCGCAAAGTAATATACATTTTCAGCCAGGCACAGTGGCTCCTGCCCGTAATCCCGGAGGCTGAGGTCAGCGGATCACTTGAGGCCAGGACTTCGAGACCAGCCTGGCCAACATGGCAAAACCCCATCTCTACTAAAAATACGCCAGGTATGATGGTGCGGGCCTATAATCCCAGCTACTTAGAGGCTGAGGCACAAGAATTGCTTGAACCTGGGAGGCAGAGGTTGCAGTGAGTGAAATACAATAACCAGCTTTTGTGGTTTCATTATTGCATTTGAATTTTTATAGCTGTGAGCCAAGATTGCGCCATTGCACTCCAGCCTGGGCAACAGAGTGAGACTCTGTCTCAAAAAAAAAAAAAAAGTAATACATATTTCAAAAAAGATTTTGTTAATGTAGGTTTTATAGTGAGAGTCTCTTCCCCACTCACAATATCAATTGTAATCATGACTTTAAATACCACTGTTCTGGATTTGGGATATATGCTTCCAACCTTTCACATGTTTAAACAAACATAGATATCATTTTTATAATTTTTTTTTTTTTTTTTTGAATTGGAGTCTCACTCTGTCGCCCAGGCTGGAGTGCAGTGGCGCCATCTCCACTCACTGCAAACTCCACCTCCCAGGTTCACGCCATTCTCCTGCCTCAGCCTCCCGAGTAGCTGGGACTACAGGCACCCACCGCCACACCTGGCTAATTTTTTGTATTTTTAGTAGAGACAGGGTTTCACCATGTTAGCCAGGATGGTCTCAATCTCCTGACCTTGTGATCTGCCTGCCTCTGCCTCCCAAAGTGCTATGTTTACAGGCGTGAGCCACCACACCTGGCCTCATTTTTATAATTTTTTAAATAGAAATTAAACCATGTTATAGAAGTTATTGTTACTTCCTCTTTCACTTATGTACCCTGCATATCTTTCATAATATGTTAGTAGGTGCAGATTTGTGCTGTTGACATAAATCTAATATTAAATTGTAAATGATAAGGAGATAAATGATAAGATAAATCATGAAAATAAAAAGATCATTAAAAAGTGTTCTTTCATTGTTGCTTAGCTTTTAAGAGTGATGATGGCATTGGGATTAAGTTTTGTTTCAAGTCCTTACCTTTTAGAGATATCTACTGGAATATTTACAGAAAAATTACATAATGCCTAGGATTAGCTTCAAACTGAAAGAGGGATGGAAAGAGGAAAACTGGGAAACATAAATAAAACAAGATTGGTCATAAATTGATAATTAAGCTAGCTGATGACCATGTAGGGATGAAAGTATTCTCTCCTCTTTGTACTTTTGAATATTTTTGAAATATTTTATAGCAAAAAATTTTAACATTTTCCCTCCTTAAAACTGATCTAATAAATGCCAAATAGCCATATCTTTAAATCACAGCAATTAATTCCTCCTGAATGGTTAGATAATAACTTAATCAACAAGACTAATCATTCCTAACACACATCCCCTAAGCAGCACAAACCAAATACAACTTTGCTTTCTTATATTTTGAATGATGCTATAAAAATTCAAATGCAGTAACGAAACCACAGAAGCTGGTTATTGTATGTCACCAATGTTAAGGGAGCTATTTATTGACAAGTGCAAATTATAAACTATTATAATTATTATTTTTTTAGAGTTAATGAAGTGTTTTCCTTTTGCTCTTGCATTGAAATTATTGCAGCTGGATGAAAAAACAAAAACAGTTGTTTAAACTAGCTACACTCAAGAAATCAAAAAGATCATGCGGAGTGTTCTATTCACCCAGCTAGGAGGACACATACAACCTGGAGTGTGCTCACCAAAATGTTGCCATGCTGAAGCTAAAAGAAGTTCTTTATTATGCCACTGGAGCAGAATAACATTTTGAGTTTCATGTTTTACTCTATGCACACCTCAACACTTCCAGGAAGGTGGCCAGGCCCTTAGTATGTCTTGTCTCTGGGGCAGGAGAGGAGGTTTATAGGACATAGAGGGGGAACTGCCTGAATCCTATAGTTCCTCTTGGCTTTTGTAAAAGTCTACACACACTAAAGAGGTATGTCCCTGAAGCCCAGAGGCAGACAGGAGAGACAGTACTTTCTAGGGCAGCAAAAGGGAAGAATTAGTTTTTTCAATATTGGGAAGAGGTCAGAGTTCAGAAGATCCTGTGAGACAAAGAATCTTACAAGGCAAAGAGTGTTTGTATTGTGCACCCAGCGATGTTGGATGCTAGACTTCCAGTCCTCTCAAAGATTTCTGACACTGAACGTGGACTGGAAGCAAGGGAGAAGCAGAATCTAAAAAGATGAAGATGAATGGAAAACGGATATCTCTGCATTATCAGTGAGATAATGACATGATAATGCATGATCAATGACAAGGAGATCATCACCTATGATTCGGCATCATTTAAGATCCTGAACTCTTGGACTATTGTTTGGGGCAGGACATCACTAATAAATATTTCAACTTAATTTCTGCCAGCCCATAAGTATAATGAGATGTTAGATTTAAGTTTAAGTGGGTTTCAAGAAAATAAAAATGTCCAATAGCACAGCTCTTAGTTTGTGGTAGTTACTTCATACAGGCTACTCCATTAAAAATCCACCATGCCAATAAAAGAGACTATAGAAGCAACCTACCTCCATTCTGGAATAACCATCCTTTACATCTGCACAGCTTTGTATTGGTAAGGCGTTTTCACACATGTTGTCTCCTCTGATCCTCACAGAGTTCCGAGGGTTCAGCGGCTCTTGAGCTGTTGAGAGTAGATGGGCAGGAGTGAAATGGCTCAGTGGAAGACAGGACTTTCTCAACTGGTCACTAGTCATTTCTCTTGCTTGCTCGCTCTCTCACTCGTATTCTTGCTAGAAACGAGAGGAACCATTTATTCAACATTTCATTTAAAAACATCTGTGCAAAATTGTCACTTGTAAGATGGATTTTATGGAGGCTATTGTCAAGGATGAATTCACTTCCTCAGGGGTCGCAATTTAGGCTGCCATCCAATGTTGGTAGTTAAGTCTTGGCCAAATGTTACTCAGCAGAGAAATATTAATATAACAAAACAATTGTTTGCAGGTGTATTTACAAAGGAAAAACAATTATAGCACTTTGCAATGCCTTCTTACTATAAGAAACAGGTATCTTTCTTAAAACAATTCAACAGAGAAAAAAAAAAAAGTTCATTTAAAGAGCATTCTTTTAGTGCAAATTTTTGAAGCCAGAAGATTTAATGGAAGTTGCCTCTAAGGAATGGGAGTTGGGGAAATGAAGTAGGTGAGACTTTCATTTTTCTAATTTGTACGTTTCTTTTTGTATATATATATCATAGTTTGGAAACTAATCTTTTTTAATCAAATGAATCTAATATCTAATTGGATCTTCTCCTCTTTATCACATCATTGCTAACAAAATATCTGCAAACATAAGCATTCTTTAATAACTTACAGGGCTTTAAAAAGAGAACTTTGATTTCCAGCTATTCACTTCTGTCACTAAAACCCCTGCCCTTGTTTGTCCATGCTCTTTAGGCCAGGAATTTCTAACTACGGTAAGAACACCAGTGGGATAAAGGAGTCTTCAAAATCAGCATCAGGATTAAGAATTCACTTTCCATCAGCCTACGCCATCTGGTGAGTACGCAAGGTTTAAGGCACCTGCCTTTGATTTTTCAGGCATATTCTCAGCATACAAGTAGTAATCTAGGAGAGCAGTTTTTTGTTTTTATTTTAAAGTTTTAACAGGAAAAAAATTCTCCGAAAGACAAAATGCATTTTTATGTCTGCAAAACTTACTACAGGCTTTCATGGCTAGAAATCCTAGAACCAAGAATCAAATTCAAGTCTTTCTATTTTTAAAGATCATGTTCTTTCCACTCCACTGTGCAACTTCCCATAGAGATCATATTTTCATAAACTTAGTTTTCTTTAAAACAGGAAATTGGATTTGCAGAGTTTCTTTCAGCCCCTGCTGCTGTGTGAAACAGAGAAGATATCTCACTGTTATGGTCAGCAGTGCCTGGGTACCACCGGAAATGTGCCGGGATGATTTGTGTCTAGGTATATGTGATGGCATCTTTCTCCAAAAGCTGTGAGCACCTGCATAGCTTGAATTCAGCTTATGTGGAGCTTTCCAGCAGCCACAGAACAAACACATCTTCCCAGCACAACTAATATAAGAAGAATTTAAAAAAAAAAAAAAACTTACTACAAATAATAAAATAACAAAACTTAAAGACATGTAACTGTCCTTATAGAAAGATACTGGCTTTCTGTTTTTTAATGGTGGGAGGCATATTCTTAGAGTAGTAGAGGGATATAGGAAGGTGAGAGCCAGAGCCCTTGACTCGGTCCACAGGCTCAGCAGCCTTCTTTTTGGCTGGCATCGGCTTCATAACCTGCTCTCTCCTTTTCTAGGAGTAAGGATCCCTTGCAGGTAAAGAGAAGACTGTTTGGCCTCTCCAGTCCTGTGATTTAAGACCTTTCTTTTGTTCCCTCTCACTAGTAAACGCAACAATTACCCCTTTCCTTGGGAAAGTAACAACTCTACATCTCCTGTGGCCTGGTTTCCAGTTTCTAACATGTTCCCCTTACACTTCATTTTCACGTGTTTCCTCTTTCTGAGAACCTCCTCCATCCCTCCCAAATGTCTTCCAGGTTTAGACCTTGTGGCTTCATTTGCATGAATTGATTATGTTTTTTAAATTGTTTCTCTTCATAATCCCCATAGCAACTGGCTTCTTTAGAAATTTCCTCACGGTCCAAAGATATCATATCTTTTAACTGAAAATAACACTTTGACTAGAATTAGTAGAGGAAAATAAGCTGTTTTATTACCCTGTCCTTTAATTTTCATTTCTTTAATTTTCTTTTGTAAAATTAAAAATAAAAAAAAAAACCTGTCAACTCAGCTGGATGGAATTTGTTGGGTATTGTGGGGCTTATAAGTTATTAAAAGATGTATATAAATTTTTAAATGCTGTCTCACCCATTTTACAGAGCAGGCAGCTTTTCACTTATTCATTCAATAAGTGTTTTTTTAGTATCTTAAGAACTGTGTTTAAAGCTGTGAAACATTTAAGGTGAGTATAAAACCCAGAATTGTCCTCCTGCACCTGAAATCGTTTTTAGATAACAATAAAACGTAGTGTGTAATTAAACACTGAAACTATAAAACAGCCCTATCATCATTTTCAGTTGATGTAAGAAGAAGGTGAAATTTGAATTGGGCCCTGAGGAGTAGGATTTGAAAAGCTGAAAGAACACCAAAAACATTATTCTAGGCATCATTCCAGAAGAGAAGGCAGTGTGAAATTTATATGAAGGATAAATATGGAATGTTTGGAGGGACAGTGAGTAGATCAACTTGGCTAGAGGAGAGTACATTGAGACATGTAAGACGGATAAAAAGCTAGAAGATAAGGCTAGAAGGCAGGTGTAGAAGGTCTTACCCATCAAGTCTCGACCTGGGTTTGGATTTTATCTCAAAGGTGATAGGATTAACTAGATAAAACGGAAGATTAATCTACAGGAAATTACGAAGTATAATCTAAAAGAATCTTTAAAATGGCTTGAGGGTCAGGCTTTCTCCCTGTCTTCTGTTTTGTTTCTCCTTCCTCCATTTCCCTACTCCACTTTCAACCAGTGATCTTGAGAATCACACAATTCTATTGTGCAATTTTTAAATGGTGTCATTCTCCTGCTTAAAACAGTTCAATAGCCTTGCAGAGACTTTCAGATAAAATCCTACCAATTTAACACATGGCCTTTAAGATCTGGCCCTAACTTGCCTCTCCAGACTTGTCACCTATACAACAGGCATCACTTTAACCCTTTTCTGTTGGACTGAAATACCCTTCCTCCATGCCCCTTTCTATTTTTTTGTCTGACAAACGTGTAACTCATCTTGAGGTTTTGGCTTAGATGTCACTTTCCCAGGGATGGATCTCAGAGCACTTTAAATCTAGATTATGCTGCCTGCCACATATTCCATCTCTATGACAGTACTTAGGATCCCTGTGATTGCCTTGGGCATATCCATAGAGGTGGGGTGGTTTCCCCAGTACCTAACAAAGCACCAGAAACATAAGAGACGCCTTAAAATTTCTGTTAAATTAAATAATAGAAAATGAAGCAGGCAGAAAAAATAGGAGTCTATGGCAATCAGACAGTCATAAAATGTTAAGATTTAGGCATAAATTCTGGGATAGGCTTGCAGCAATGGAAAAGAAGGGATGGATTGAGGCACAGTTAAAAAAAGAAAGCTAGGTGGAATGCTGACAAACCTCAATTCTGACTGAGCTGACATAATTTGGTATACATAATTAAAAGGTCCATCCAACCCTATAGTTTCCAAACTCTGGCTGATCATCAGAATCATCCAGAGAATCAGGAATGTTTTTTGGTTTTGATGTGTTTTGATTTTTCATGATCATTCTCATAACAACTTACTGATGTTTAGGAGTTACCTAGATGTCATATAAGGCCATTTCTAGCACTCATGTTCTGATTGAACCAAGACATCTCTGAAAAGGTAATAAGCAACTGAATGTAAGAGCAGAAGGAATGCCTTATACTACTACATTTTTAGGCTGGTTAACCTGGAGTCACAATTTGCATGTAACAGGCAGCCAAAAAAAATAAAGAAAAAAAAAAAAAAGTTATAGCTAGTCACTATATATAACTTGATAAATAAATCAGGGAAGGAGAAAGAGGGAGCATATTTTCTGAGATGGATTTGATGTTGGACAAGAGTTTCCCAACTGACACTCTACCATTTTTGTGTCCTTCCAGCTGTCTCAACAGAACTCTCATCCTGCTTTAAGTCCTTGGCATTGCTGTTTTGGCTACTATAGTGACTATCTCTGAGGAACAGCACCCAATTTCTCTTTAAAGAATTAGCCTCCCCCATTGTGTATAGTCTTCTTGAAATTGTAAATTGTCATATGTGACTAGTGAGCACTTGAGATCTGGCGAGTGCAACTGAAGAACTGAGTATTTTAGTTATATTAAATTTTATTTAATAATTATTATAATTTTTTTGAGACAGAGTCTTGCTCTATAGCATAGGCTGGAGTGTCGTGGTGCAATCCTGGCTCACTGCAACCTCTGCCTCCCAGCTTCAAGAAAGAAGGTCCTGCCCTCCCTTAGCTGAGATATAACAAAAACTCTCTCCTTGATTTTAAAAACTTGAGTCAAGTGTCCAAAGAGCAGAGAAATCAATTGGTGCTCACCATTCTTGCTGTGTCATTAAGTTCCTTGGAATGCCCTGGTTTCTGTTCTTTTAACTTAGCCTTGTTATCAAGCCTTCTCATCATCTATGAACTACCCAGTATCCTTCCAAATCACCATTTTGTTTAACAAGTCATTTCAATATCCGGTACCTACAAACAAACAAATGAACAAAAACTAATACTTAATATACCACTTTCATTGTCTCATTGTATAAAACAGTTCCTTCCTGTGTTCACCCCAGATTCTTCTCTAGTTTCTGCACTAGGAAAGTATGCATAGCCATTGCAGTATTTAAAAAAAAAAAAAAAAGAAAGAAAAAGAAAAAAATGCAAGCCACACATGTAATTTTATATTTTCTAGCAGCCACATTTTAAAAAGTACACAGAAACGGATGAAATTAGTTTTAAGGCTATATTTTATTTAAACAAATATATCTTTATTATTATTTAACATATAATATGAAAAAATATTGAGTTGTTTTTTTCTAGGGTAAGTCTTTTGAAGTGTGGTATGTATTTTACACTTACAGCACATCTCACTGCAGATGCTAAATTTTGAAAGGTTCAAGTGACATATGTTCCTTCCGAAACAATATAGCCACATAGACAGAAAAATAACTCACACTGTTACTTTTAACATTTAAATTGCTGGGCATGGTGGCTCATGCCTATAATCTCAGCACGTTGGGAGCCCAAGGCAGGCAGATTGCTTGAGGCCAGGTGTTCAAGACCAGCCTGGCCAACACAGCGAAACTCCGTCTCTGCTAAAAATTCAAAAATTAGCCAGGTGTGGTTGTGGGCGCCTGTAATCCCAGCTACTCAGTAGGCTGAGGCATGAGAATTGCTTGAACCCAGGAGGCAGAGGTTGCAGTGAGCCAAGATCATACCACTACACTCCAGCCTGAGCAACAGAGCAAGACTCTGTCTCAAAAAAATAATAATATTAAATAAAAATTTAATTTAACTAAAATATTCAGCTCCTCAGTTGCACTAGCCACATTTCAAGTGCTCACTAGTCACATACGACAAGCATCTATGTACTAGGCACCACACCCTTAGATCTGCTACAGGAGTGAACAGTCACAGGGAACCTTTTCTTGATGGATCCAGTAGTTGGCAGGAATTGGAGGCTTTCATCCTTCCAACAAATTCCATTATGACAGGACTCAAAACTGTGTGAAGACCTATTTGAAATATTTCTTCCCCAAAAATGATGTTTCTTTGCCTGGGTAACTACAACAGGTTAACACACTATTGATTGTGAGATCTATCCTCTGTGCTCTGCAATTCAGGTACATAGAAAGATCAAGGAATTATCTTGTCAGGTAGTTTTCAAAATTAAAAATACATAATTACTCTTAAATCACTTATCATTTATAACATGTTGAGGGGTGGGAAGAGACTTGGAGGATTCATTTTAATTATAAGGATTTTCACTATTAAATAGAAAATAGAATTTTGAGTGGCAGGTTGATGTTGAACTTTATCTCTCAGACAATAACAGATATTGTAAATTTTAGAGTGAAAGAATAACATAATAATGTCAATGTTTCAGGAAAACAAATCAGAATCCAGACTGGTACAACAGGAGTCCATAGAGAAGGTGTGGCGCTTCTAGCATCCTTAGATGATAGATATATGCTCTTATTTCTGCCGGGAATGCTGTTTTCCTCTTCTGAAGCTGATAAGACATGTGTTCATCCTAGTTCAGTTGCCCCTTAGTTTTCCAAGTGCAGATGGCAGACTGAGTCACTTCTCCCTTCACCTCTACTCTCACAGCAGTTCTTTGAAAATCCTGCACAGAAGTCAAATTTATAGAGACAAAAAGTAGTCGCAAGGGGCTGAGGAATTATTGTTTAATGGGAACAGAGTTTTCGTTTTGCAATATGAAGAGTCCTATGGATGGATGGTGGTAAAAGCAGCACAACAGTGTGAATGATTGGTGGGCCTTTCCCCTGATTAGCTCCTCTCCACGTTTAGGAGCGTCCTCTTTTCCAGGCCAGAATGGTTTAGGTACCCTTGCTGTACCCTTTCATGACCCTCATACTTTCCTTACCGGGCTCTCATTACAACTGTCATCTACAGCTAATTCTGTGGTATATTAGTCTGCCAGGGTTACTGTAAGAAAACACTACGGATTGGGTGCCTTATACAGACTGGGTGTGATTTTCTCACAGTGCTGGAGACTAGAAGTCTAAGATCAAGGTGTTGGCAGGTTTGGTTTCTCCTGAGGCATTTTTTTTTAATTTATTTATTTATTGGCTTTCAGATAGTCTTTCCTTTATGCAAACACAATCTTGGTGTCTGTGTCCAAATTTCCTCTTCTTATGAAGACATCAGTCAGACTGGATTAGGGCTCACCCTAAGGATCTTGTTTTTGGTTTTTGTTTTGTTTTGTTTTGTTTTTGAGACGGAGTCTCGCTCTGTCGCCCAGGCTGGAGTGCAGTGGCGCGATCTCGGCTCACTGCAAGCTCTGCCTCCCGGGTTCACACCATTCTCCTGCCTCAGCCACCCTAGAAGCTGGGACTACAGGCGCCCGCCATCACGCCTGGCTAATTTTTTTGTTTTTCAGTAGACATGGGGTTTCACCGTGTTCACCAGGATGGTCTCAATCTCCTGACCTCCTGATCCGTCCGCCTCGGCCTCCCAAAGTGCTGGGATTACAGGCGTGAGCCACTGCGCCCAGCCAGGGTCTTGTTTTAATCACCTCTTTAAAGGTTCTGTCTCCAAATACACTCACATTCTGAGGCACTGGGAGTTGGAACTTCAACATATGAATTTTGGGGGATGCAATGAGGCTTGTGATTAACCTCTACTGTTTCCACTTGTTAAACTTTATAACACCAGGGACTTTGTCTTGTTCATATTTCAGGACCTTTACCATTGCTGCTGTCTTCGGAGCACACTACCTCCAACTCTTCATACAACAGGTTTTTCTCAACTTTCAAGCCTTAGCACCACCATCTGACAAGAGCCATTCCAGACCACCTTGTCTAAAGTAACCCTAAATGTTACTCTAGGGGTCACAACACTGTTTCCTCTATTTCACGGCAGTCACCACTTACTTATGTCCAGAATATCAGCTTCAGGAAAGATGAGGATAGGTGTTTTTACACGCTATTATACCCCGGCATCTCACACACAGTCACAAGTGAGTAAGATTCTGTAGCCACTTAGTACATTACAATGATTTTATTTACTCCTGGGAAAACCTCAAGGGCTTTTAACATCCAAATCGGTGTTTGAATTTCAGCTCTAACATGGATTAGCTGTGTGAATTCCACCAAGTCCCTTACCCGCTCTGTGGCTCAGAATCCCTAACAACACGATGACAATACCTTCTTTCCGGTTCTTATGGAGATTAAGCGAACTAATTACCCATAAGGTGACCAGGTCAAGAATCTCTTGCTGTACCCTTTCATGACCCTCATACTTTCCTTACCGGGCTCTCATCACAACTGTCATCTACAGCTAATTCTGTGGTATATTAGTCTGCCAGGGTTACTGTAAGAAAACACTACGGATTGGGTGCCTTATACAGACTGGGTGTGATTTTCTCACAGTGCTGGAGACTAGAAGTCTAAGATCAAGGTGTTGGCAGGTTTGGTTTCTCCTGAGGCATTTTTTTTTAATTTATTTATTTATTGGCTTTCAGATAGTCTTTCCTTTATGCAAACACAATCTTGGTGTCTGTGTCCAAATTTCCTCTTCTTATGAAGACATCAGTCAGACTGGATTAGGGCTCACCCTAAGGATCTTGTTTTTGGTTTTTGTTTTGTTTTGTTTTGTTTTTGAGACGGAGTCTCGCTCTGTCGCCCAGGCTGGAGTGCAGTGGCGCGATCTCCGCTCACTGCAAGCTCCACCGCCTCCCGGGTTATCACCATTCTCCTGCCTCAGCCACCCTAGAAGCTGGGACTACAGGCGCCCGCCATCACGCCTGGCTAATTTTTTTGTATTTTCAGTAGACATGGGGTTTCACCGTGTTCACCAGGATGGTCTCAATCTCCTGACCTCCTGATCCGTCCGCCTCGGCCTCCCAAAGTGCTGGGATTACAGGCGTGAGCCACCGCGCCCAGCCAGGGTCTTGTTTTAATCACCTCTTTAAAGGTTCTGTCTCCAAATACACTCACATTCTGAGGCACTGGGAGTTGGAACTTCAACATATGAATTTTGGGGGATGCAATGAGGCTTGTGATTAACCTCTACTGTTTCCACTTGTTAAACTTTATAACACCAGGGACTTTGTCTTGTTCATATTTCAGGACCTTTACCATTGCTGCTGTCTTCGGAGCACACTACCTCCAACTCTTCATACAACAGGTTTTTCTCAACTTTCAAGCCTTAGCACCACCATCTGACAAGGGCCATTCCAGACCACCTTGTCTAAAGTAACCCTAAATGTTACTCTAGGGGTCACAACACTGTTTCCTCTATTTCACGGCAGTCACCACTTACTTATGTCCAGAATATCAGCTTCAGGAAAGATGAGGATAGGTGTTTTTACACGCTATTATACCCCGGCATCTCACACACAGTCACAAGTGAATAAGATTCTGTAGCCACTTAGTACATTACAATGATTTTATTTACTCCTGGGAAAACCTCAAGGGCTTTTAACATCCAAATCGGTGTTTGAATTTCAGCTCTAACATGGATTAGCTGTGTGAATTCCACCAAGTCCCTTACCCGCTCTGTGGCTCAGAATCCCTAACAACACGATGACAATACCTTCTTTCCGGTTCTTATGGAGATTAAGCGAACTAATTACCCATAAGGTGACCAGGTCAAGAATCTGACATAGAATCTATGCTATCAGCTGAAATGCTATTAGCTTGAGGGTGTTCCAAAGCATCGGACCTGGGAATGATTTTTGAAAACGTGTTTAGTTGGTACCCAGAGGATTAAACACCAGGGTATGAATGCCACTCTATTTTCAGTGGTTTTTAAAATTCTTTTTTGTTTTGTTTTTGAAACAAAGGCTTGCTCTATAGCCCAAGGTGGTGTCCAGTGGTGGGATCTCAGCTCACTGCAGCCTCGACCTCCCGAGTTCCAGTGATTCTCCAGCCTCAGCCTCCCAAGTAGTGGAGACCCCAGATCCGTGCCACCACACCCACCTATTTTTTTTTTTTTTTTTGGTAGAGATAGGGTCTCACTATGTTGCCCAGGCTGGTCTTTTCAATTCTTTAGATCAAAACCAGGCCTTCTTCTCATTCAGGTATCTTTGGCACCCATCCCTGCCTCCATCCCTTGCAGTTTCTTCAGATTCTTCTGTTTAGCAGGGATCACTCGGCCAGACACGCACCGGCAGCAG